TCTCATCTCAGACAAGAATTTCACATATACTGAAGTGGCTGTCAGCCCACATGACTGGCCGATTTCAGGACCCCTACGCAATTCATCACTGCTTTCAATACCGCGATCTATATCTACACAAAACCTAATAAAATGGTCAAATAACAATATACTTCCAATATTCTGAACTAACCTTCCAAGGAATGTTCGCTTTCCAGCATCGCCAAGCTTCTGAAAGATGCTGCAGAATGGTTCGGGCTTTATTCTGTTTGATCCCTTCTGGCATCATGTCCACAATATCATGCATCACCTATAAACAAGTTGTGCAACACAAAAACTTTAAAAAGGAAACGCTTTATATTGTCACATAGCACATACAGAACAAATAAACTGGGATACTGGGAACGACCCGTTCTTCAAGTGCCTGAGCACTGCGGGTCCCAACTTTTTCATTGCCTTGATCTATAGACATTCGGTAAGACTCCTTGGACGAGGGATCGGCCCGTCGGAAGGCCTCTACCTGTACACAGGACAGCACGACACAGAAAAACGTGGACAAACATCCATGGCTTGAGTGGGATTCAAACCCATGGTCCCAGCGACCGAGCGGCACAAGGCCCACGCCTCAGACCGCACGGCTACTGCGGACCCACAAATAAACTGACAATATAAAAACACTTTAAATTATCTGGAAGTATTTAATCAAAATACAATTTATATACCACAAATAAAACAAACAGTATATGGAACTTACAGAAGCTCTAAGTTCCAGATCAAAGTGGCTTTCCACTCTCTGTTTGGTGACTGTCTTGGCAACGCCTTTAGAGTGCCGACCTTCAAACTGTCTAGAAAGAAGATTTCCAAGCCATCGCTCCAACAACGGGGTGATTCCTCGCATGAAAAAGAGCCATACTCGCCATCCTGGAGCCCAGAAACCGCATCCAGGACCTTTGCCAACTGGACCCTGGACCGAAAAATAATATTAACACATGAGAAGGTCGTTAAGCCAAGTACTCCTCTGCCAGTTGTCATCCTATCATTTGGAATAGAAGAATCCACTTCATTGGTGTTCCCACATGTGGGGTAATGGGATCTAATCCTAGCCAAGACAAATTCCTTGAACGCAGCTGCCACATTACTTTACAAAACACAAAGAATACTCACGGTATTGAAACGATAGTAGATGAGGTGCTTAAGATCCTTGCACATCCGTATCTGTCTCATCAGTTTGTACTTATAGCGATACATTCCTGTGAGTTGACCAACATGTGCAAAGATGTACTGAATGCCGTCAGACAGCTGGAATGCATCCACATTATTCAAGCGGTACTGGACATGTGAGTCGACAATCAACTTTGTCAAACGCAATATCTCGCGACACAGATGGAAAGCTGTAAATAAAATGATAACAATTTTCCTTCACATTTTCATATTCTGTGAAACAAAATATAGACATATTAATTCCTGTATGCTTGTAAAATACAGTGGACATAAATTATCTGAGAAGTTTCAAATATTTATTTACCAACAATTAAAAAGCACACAGATATGAAAATTATAAAACTGGAAGGAGAACTTTTAAACATTTTCTGTACTATACAGGAGAAGTGATGTAACGCAAATTATGGCCACTAGTAGTACAGTTACTGATACAGCAGTAAAATGGTGGTTCAATCCAAGAAAATGTTTTGATATACAGGAGAAGTGATGTAACGCAAATGATAGCCACTAGTAGTACAGTTACAGATACAGCAGTAAAATGGTGGCTCAATCCAAGAAAAAGTTTTGTCAAGTTTCAGTCATCAAAATCTGTGATCACAGTTCAATGGGGATATTGAGGGAAGTTGCATAAAAATCCTCCATTTGTTAATTTAATCTGCTTTCTTGGGATGAGTCACCATTTTACTGCCATGTCAACACCTGTGCTCCTAGCGACCATCGTTAACGTTACATCACTTCTCCTTCATGCTACAAATAATTCTGAAAGTTCTTACAAAAGACATAAACTAAATTTATGCACGCCACTTAGTTTGTGTTATATATTTGAAACTGCTCGTATCATGTGTGTTCACACTGTATAATACAACAGAAAAACAATTATAAAATAAACGAGTCCTACAGCCGTTGATGCCACGATATCAGCAAGGTAAGAAATGGAAACTGTGAGAGTAGCACATTATTCCTTCTTTTATTTAACCCTTCGGTGCCAGCCTTCATTTGGGTCCAGACCTCAGTTTAATCACATGACAGTGTTCATTGCATGTGATATAGACCACGTATATGAGCTTAGGTAAAAGTTCCACACAATAATTTTTAAACAGTTGAATAATATACAACTGCACAGTTCGAATAAATATTTTTACAAATACAGCACATACAATAAAAAAAGGAACACACGCTGACATGAGGACTCCAAGTTGAAAATGTAATTTATGCCCTATCCAGGTGTCTACCAGGGGATGTGGATTGCCCTGATTTGTGGTGGGACTTCATCATATCTTCGAGAAGTCATTTAAAATAATTTTTTCTTAAAATTAAACAGACATGCTGGTGTCTCCTTGAAAGACACCCGGCACAAATAATTGAAATTTATATCTGAAAGGTACAGAACAGCCACATCTGAACAAACAAATACAAGGAGATTACAAATAATTAAAATTATGACGCCAGCTGTACACTTAAACACCACTTATAGTTTTGGACTCTGCTTTCAGTGCTCGATTTTCACGGCACAGATCATATCTACTATTGTATGAACAGCAACACCCTCTTCAAAATGTCACATAAAACACGGCACAAATCAGCAAATGCCGAAGAGGAAAACGTAATGATAAAAAAATGCAAATAATGAAAGGCTCAATGTCACGAAACAGTTTCCAGAGATAGATAGAAAATAGCTACACCGATGAATTGCTAGACAAAGAAAAAACTTAAAAATTGCTACAGTTCTACAGTGTAACTAAATAAAAAGATAAAATTGGGTACCATTTCCAAAACGAGACTTCTTCCTCTCCTTGGTTGTGAGTGTCTTAACAGGTTTCAAGTTGAAGTTGTAATCAAGATGCAGGTAATTCAGATTCTTACGATGAATAAGGAGGTTAAGCATATTATAACCTTGACGGCACACCTGCAGCCCAGCCTCAACCCAATCAAGGGTGGTTGTCTGGAAGAACTTGGTAGACTTGAATGACCGAAACAAGTATCTGACAAAAAGTGAAAAATTAATTAGCACTGAACTGTGTAAATAACATAAATCTGGGGATTTACTTTGCTAACTTAACTCCACGAAGTAGTCTTTTTTGAAAAGCTAAGTCATTTAGCTAGTCAAACATTCTCCGATTTTCATGGCACCAGAAGATTTGTTACCATTCCTACTGATAAACAACCCCTTAATGATTTCACACAAAATAACTCATATATTTTCAGAAAATATCCTGTCCCTTAATGATTTCACACAAAATAACTCTTATATTTTCAGCAAATATCCTGCACACCAACCTTTTCTTTTGTGGTTTTGGTGCCCTGTGCTTCAGGGCATTCAATACGAAGTACTTGAGTAATTTCTGGTAGCTGACCCTCACTTTCACCGGCTGACCAGGTGGGCAGTGCTCTCTGTACCACGATTTCACAAGAGGCACGTCAATTGCTCTGCGCGTTCGACCTGAATAAGGCACAAGACCAATTTACAAATAGAAAATGATCACCCAAAAAGAAGTTAATTGACAATGTAGTGTGGAAAATATCTTCTTTGCAGTTGTTTAAGTTCATGAAAATCAACGAACATTCCAGTTACTACAGTGTGGCACATGAAATGATACCCTATTTGTTTTAATGATAAAACAGCCACCATATTACGAATGAAGTTTTCTGTCATGGGTGCAGTAGTTCATGGAGATACCATTAGGTGGCATATGCGTCACATGTACCGAACAACAGGTGATCAGTTTGTGGTACCCTGCCAGTATGCAGAAGATGGCAGACAACAAAGACCTATAATTCAGAGAATACAAACAATGGGGGTTCAATCACCGACAGGGGACAGAGGATTTTTCCTCTAGCCTCTGCATCCAGACTGACTCTTGGGCCCACCCAGCCTCCTTTCCCGGGGGTAAGGCGCAGCCGGGGCATAACACTGACCACTGACTTCCATCTAGTGCCAAGGTTAAGAATGAGTAGGAGCTCTCTCCCCAAGCGCCTACATGGTGTACAGCAAGACAGCTTTACTTTTATACTGCACATGCTGTTTTCAACCAAATTTCCTCTAATGCACAATTCCAGGCGTAGGCTTGAGTTACTTGCCTGATCTAATGTTAAATGGTCTGGGAGCCCAAAGAAGGGCAATTCCATTTGCTGTGTTGTCTGTGTACAATGGAGTTTCCTGCAGGAATGGCTGTACTTCCTCAGGCAATTCAAAATCCTCATCATCTTCAGGTAAAGGCTCGGCAGCCTAGAATATGAGAAACTCCTATACATTAACAGCATCTAATATCCACTCAACCTTACTTCAAATGAGATGTAAACAAAACCAAGCACTTCACAAAAAAATTATATTGGTTCCTGGCCGAAGAACACTGACGTGAGCTACAAAACATCCACATTTTTAAGGTACATTTCTCCTATGAATATTTTGGAACACAAGTGAAAAAAAAGAAAGATGATCGTTGTTAACTATACAGCTTGCAAATATACGTCAATAGTATACCGATCACAGCACATTATCACTTACTCAGTGGTATTTTTGTTTATATTTGGTTTCAAGTAAGAGTGAATGAAGAATGACCGAAATAAACTTCCTCATAATTCACAAAAATGGATCAATGTTAAATACGTATATCACAGAAGTAACAATATTTAAACTTAAGTTCATTTGAAGGGAGTGAGAACATTTCCCCACAATTTGTTTTTATGTCATTTAAGATACAAAACACACAAAGAAACACTCGATGTACCAATATTTCCAGAGAACAGAAGGAAGATTGAAGATACTAGTATCTCTAAGATCACAGTCGTCTGCAAGACTGACAATGGGGGGAGGGCCAAGGTGCAAAGTCCCCAGAAGTGGCCTGGCCACACTGGTGGTCTAACTTCTAAAGTGAATTCCCAGTCCTCCCACGTCTTGGATGATCTAACCTGAGGGGGGTTTCCAACCTAGCAAAGGCAAGGCCTGGGAGAAGGGGTAAAGCATAACTCTTTGGTGCAATGTTGAGGAATTTTTTCCAGCTAAGAAAGTAATACCAATACATCCAGAAAATTTTCCCTCCATTAACACTCTCACGCTCAAACCTACAAGTATAACATTAGCAGCCATGTAATCTACCTCACAATCTTCTACTCTGCATCTATTCAAAAATGGGATTGTTAATAACGGAAAAATGCTAAATAAATACATAGCAGTGTGTAACGATAAAATGGAACGAAGTCCTCATTATCAGACGGCCTTCCTCTTACATTGGAGTAGTACACCTGACAGTAAGACGTGCAAGGACTGAAAGAAAGGTGTACCAAAATCTATCTTCAGATTTTTGATGACATTATTAGTAAAAAAACCTTGTGCCTATTATCATTTGCAAAACAGGGCATGTATAAATTATTAGAAAAGTATAATTTTACACCTATGCAAATAATGTTTCTTTATTTACCTTAAGAGAGTGTCTGTGAGATATAGGATTGATCAGCGGATCAAAATAGAATGCTGGCAAGTCTGGATCCTCTGTCTTGATATAAACCACATTTGGTGCATGGTACCTGAAAATACAACACTGTAACTGCAAAATACATTAACTAGAAGCATGGTTCTCACAATGTGACACAAAGATAAATTATGTTTCAGTAGTGAATATTCTGCAATAAAGAATCTGTTAATATTTCATTTGTTAAGACAAAATTAATTTTGGAGGGATGCTGTATGGAAGTGTTTCATATTCTGAATGCAGCTTGAAGAAGCTACTTCCATTTTCAACTACACATCTGTAAAAAAAAAAGTGTTTTCAACGCAGCAACAAAAACAAAATACCAAATCGGCTTAATATAGAACATCCCAAAACTCCCTTGTGGCCAACAGCAGATCCACCCACAACATTCGTAAGTACACCTCCAACCGCTTCTTGGGTATGGATCATAATTTAGAAATTAAATTTAAACTAAAGACTTGAAAATAACAAGTTTTTGTTTTGAGGGTCACATGAAAATATTTCGGTACAAAAAAATTTCAACAGCAGTAAAATGTTTGAGAATTATTATAAGAACTTACGAAATCAAAGAATAAAAAGTTTAAAAATGAATATAAAGCACGTTACTGACTCTAGTACAGCTCATCAGTGCAAAATTAACCCCTTTCCACCGCAAGTTGAAAAGTAACACGCATTAAAAATGCTGCCAGTCATTTATCAGCACAGGATCAACATTTCTTTGCTCATTTGTCTATAATATGTCGCTGCTGACTGACGCAATGTGGCAATGAATTACTGAACAGTTAGATCAGAATCTGCTATCATCTCCACAAATAACTCAAATTTCTTGAAAAAAAAAGTACGTGATTATATAATATGGGGCATCGAAAAAAAAAAAGTACGCGATTATATAATATGGGGCATTCCGGCCACAGAAAATTCTGATGGTATGCCAATGTTTGTGACCTCAGCAGATGCCTTTCTGCCTGGGAAAAGCAACTAACACGCAATCACAGTTCCTGTTTCACGCTGCTAGTGAAGCATCTTAAACTTCAAAGATACTTATAAAACAAGCGTGACTAAACATAAAATATTCAGAACTTCAGATGACTTAAAATAAAGCATGGTCTAAACATTATACAAAGTCATATAATATGGAAGAATAATGAAAAAGATGAGGGTATATATCAACTCAATTTATAATTCAATTTGACATTAAATTGCAATTATGTAGTATCAAATGAAAAATCTCACAAACAAAAATAGTATTTAACATATTTTAGTTGTTTATTAGTAAATCTGGAAAATATAAATTATCCAAACTGGAGTACCCCTTTCCACGCTCAATTATTACACTAAGAACTACGACGCTCAATTATTATACTAAGAACTTCATGCAAAAAAAGACATGGATTATGGATTATCCAAGAGCCTACTCACCATGAAAGATGGACATAGTGGGGCATGTTATTATAGAGGTATGGAAATGCAATCCTGTATTCTGTGCGGATTGGCTGACGTATGATTATCTTGTTGATATCATTGAACTCATTCCAGTCTTCATCCCTGTAAAAATTGTTAATTAAAATAATTTCTCATCATCAAAGTGCACCATCTGCGATGTTCATAAAAGATTTAACAAGTACTTACGCAGGATTTGAATCCTTGATAAGAGGTTCAAATTTTGGACCTCCTGGAATAGCCATATTCAATGCCTTAGCGGTGAAAAATGATTTGTGGTCAAACAGATAGAAGAAGTTGATATCCACCAAGTCTGTGAGAAGCTGATTAGCAAGTCGATAGAGCGTGGCCATCTGAGGTAGTGACAAATTCCAGCGTCTGTATGTTGAACCATTTACGTGTCTGAAACACAATACCCGCAACTCTAAAATCGGATTATGATATGAAACACACAAAGAATAAGTCACTGAAATATACTTAATAACAATAAGTTTCAATTCTTAGAATATCTTCCCTGTTCTGGAGAAATTAGACATCCAAATTATTAATTTATTATTTTCTCAAAAACTAAATCTAAGGAATTCCCAACACTGACATTATTAATAACTACAATTTTTTTATAATAATTTCTCTGTATAATGGATATTTAGCAAGATTTGAGACAGCAGCCACTGTCCTTATGGACCAAAAGTGAATGTGATCAATAAATTAAATTCACATCACTAAATCTTAACATCCCCACTTAATGGTACCCGCACCTTGTCGTGGTGGTGGGGCTTGAGTACCTCAGTGACCCTAAGAGTTACTGGTAGGGCCTCCGTAGCCAGATTGGTCGTGGGGGAGAGGTCAGACTAAGACAGGTACCCTGGCCCTCCAGGTTGAGGGTTGGTCGCAAGGCTAACAACCTTGCGCCGTAAAAAGGAAGATGTTTCGAGACCTCGATCAAAGCCTCGGACAGACAGACCTAACGGAGGACCAAACGGAAGAGGAGAATTGAGGAGGCCATGGACCGAATACGGACCGGAGAGCCATAGAAGAAGAAGAAGAAATCTTAACATGCTTTATCCAGTATTATGCTTCATTAAAATCTGCTCAAAAAGAGCTGAGGCAAATAATTTGTGCTGGAAACAAGCACCCTGCGACATTATTTGTAACTGCACACTTGGATCACCCTCTTCTTCTTGCGAAGGTTGGCGATCCAAATGGCCAGCGTAGATTTGGAGACTGCAGCTCTAAAGGTTTATATCTCAATTGCGTCATGTTTGTGTTTTATTGATACAATATTTTTATTTTCCGTCTATACACAGTCGATACAAAAAATGTAACAAGATGCAGTGTCTACTGAGAATGTTATAATTTTAAATAATTTTAAACAACATTATTTTAAGTTTGTGTACAGACGGAAAATAAAAATATTGTAGCTCTAAAGGTGTCGACTGATGTGCAGCCAAACCATTTTCGTCAGCCATTAAGATAATTTGGAAAAAAATAATACAGTAGGAGTTGGATCACCCATTTGACATCAAAGAACTGAAAAGTGTTAGTTAAAGAGATGCTTTCTAACGCGCCCCTCCGGAATCAGGCAGCACAGCATGGAACAATGTCAAAGCATGGTTCATACAAAACAGTACAGTGTAACACCTGTAATAGACCAAGAACGCACACTGGAAAGGTAGATGAAAATGACAGGAAAAGTTCTTACTGGAATATAATGCAACTGGCATGTAAAAGATTTTAACTACATTGGATGCACATTTCTGTAAAAAAAAAAAAGTCATGGAAAACTCACTTGCTTCCTACTAGTGGTTTATGATCATAAAACCACTTGCAGACAGAAACATCTTCATCTGGGTCAAGTTCAATCTGGATGGCCTCTAATGGTTCAACGTCCAATACGTTATCAGCGTAATCAAGTGGAGGTTCTTCATCATCGAATGGAGGAAAACGCATCCTTTTGAAGTGTCGACGATCGCGCTTCTCCCGGCGCATCATAATCCACATTGTCCTAACATTTAAAACATTCTGATCATATAAACAAATCTTAAATTTATGCAGTTTACTTATTATTAAAAAAACAGGTAAAATGAAATGACACCAGGGATCCATTAATAAAACTTAAATATATTACCCACCCACAGAAATCCCTTCTTCCACAGACCATCAGTATCCTACACCTACGTATCTTCATAATTGCCATATTTTTTTTCGTGTCCAGTACACACCGTTCAGCATGGTGTGCATTGGCGGTTAGCAGGATTCACGACCCATCAGTACATGGGTTTGATCAGGACCGCGACATTTAACGCTCCTGCTGAGCATATGAACAGGATCCTTCCTTCCTTTTCTCGGACTGGGACCTGTTCATATACGTTCTTGGCAGATGATCCAGAAGTGGTTTGCCATTGCCTTCTTCTGTGTGTGAATGGAGTAATTGTTGGGATGCCATGGAGGAAAACTCCGTGTTGCCTAGACCACAGCCTTGCCCAACACAAGTTGTAAATCTGAGCACTGCCGGAAATCGAACCCGGGACCCCCCAGTATTACAAGCCCAGCTTTCTAACCGCTAGACCACCGTGGCAGTTATAATTACCACTGATGTATGTTAACTCATGGTGAGCGGGCAACCATATTGTTTGAAACCCTGAATGACACTGTACCACATGCAAAGGTTATTATATAAGAAATTATATGGCAGGATATAAATATTACTGTAATATTGCACTGCTAGTTTTTGAATGTCAAAGATGCATCTGAAGCCTTTTTCAAAATACAATTCTAATATATGTAACAAAGGATTGATTAAAACCACATTAAAACATTCCTGCATTACAATAAATTGAAACTTGGAAGTCTTTAGCTACAGCATAACATAACGGTGAAGTGCAACTTTTTCCATGTCAAAAGTTTGTATGTTCAACTGTCGCCACTAATTCTGTTCATGATTGTGTGCAAATATTACTCACCCCCACTGCGCTATATACACAGGTTCAATGACCCACGGTATCTCATTCACAAAAGTGATGGCTCCAGTTATATGGTATAAGACTTTCACGTCCCGGATCTGTTCCCAGGGCATTGGCATGTTTTCCAGGAGTTTCATAACTGCATGAGGCATATATTTCAATGCACTGTAAAAAAAGGCAATACTCATAATCAGTAAATGAAAATAAATCTCAACAGCTGTAACATTAATTTCCTCTCAGAATGTAATACCCACATTTCTTATGGAATTTTAAAACTATCTAAACGTAAAGGTTACGTATTTGATAACCTGGCTGCATACAAACAGGTGTGGGGAAAAATTAAGACAGAAATGGGTAGAAAAACCCAAAACAAAACAAAAATGCAAAATGAAGAATAACTAGAAGTAATTTTTACATGAACTCAAATTTTGTGGGAGGACCAAGGGTCATATAACATGATATTTATTTATTTATTTTTTTAGTGTTCTGTCTGACGACAGGTCCATATGAACAGGATCCTTCCATCCTTTTCTCGGACTGGGACCTGTTCATATACGTTCTTGGCAGATGATCCAGAAGTGCTTTGCCATTGCCTTCTTCTGTGTGTATGGAGTAATGAGTAATTGTTGGGATGCCACGGAGAAAAACTCCGTGTTGCCTAGCCCACGGCCTTGCCCAACACAAGTTATAAATTCGGACACCGCCGGGAATCGAACCCGAGACCCCAGGATTACAAGGCCAGCGTTCTAACCGCTAGACCACCGTAGCGAACGTATTGTTTACATGTTAATAATTACAAATATGACGACGATATTGTGAGTCTTTGAGGTTATAACTGACAATTTTAATGTAGTCTGAATCTATATTAAAGGAATTACTCACAAATGAACTCCTAATGGTTTAAATACTAATTCATATTTGCTGTTTAAACATCTGAAAAAAGTAGTCTTCATAACTTTTCATATGGTCTTGTCAGAACATGAAATATCGTGCTGAGCGAGAGACTTCAAATATACACCAACTGAAAATAATGCAACATATTTTTACTGGTGTCATATCTCCACACCTGATTTAGGCCTAATTGTTATGCTGCCTTATCGCATGTCCTCTCGAAGTAGGCAATGAAATATCCTCGTTCTTCTGTACTGATACGGAGTGTCTCAAAACGACGAGTACGTGTTCAAAATTACCACCTTCAGCTTTGTGGTACAATTGACAACGGTGTGGAAGTGACTGACAAGCGGCCAGCGTATTATATTGTATATACATCTTTTTGGGACATTCTGTTTTAACCCCCCCATTCGGGGGGGGGGGTTGGTTGGTTTAGTTTTTACTCAAGATTTTAAAACTTGACCAACCCCCCGAGGAGCTCCGAAAGGAGCGCTCTGCTATAGTTGTTATAAAATTTCAGAACCTTCTATGCTTATTTTAGAACGTGTATTGTTTTGTTTACCCCTTTAGTGCGGGATCTGTAATGTTGCAGATGCCCTTCAATCTCTCGATGAACTAAACATGTATGGCCTCGCGACATGTGTTCGGAACGGCGCAAGTTTTATAAGTGGCGGAAGGGGAGGTTACAACTACAACCATCACCATACCAACGGTGAAACGCGCTTTCTTCCATTAATAACGTACCTCATCTGGGTTTGTTTCCAAGATTTACAAGTATTCATAGTTGTGCCCACAGTTTCGGTTTTGACATACAATATAGATTTAATTATATCGTTCGTAATCTTTTATAACGCGTAGAATATTTATAAACTTTGAGATTGGTTTGTATTTGAATTGTTTACCTTAGTGTAAGTTTTAAGTTTTGACGGGAGAGAGACTTGTTGAAGCATGCGCATTCAAGATATGTAATTTAAATTATGGCCACTTCGTCATATTAAGATGTCTCCAGGCTACGTGAAAAGCGAGCCTGTTAAAGTAATAAAGCATGTTAGACAGGAGAGTGTTAGGGTCTCAGTAGATTTGACTTTATACTTTTAACCTTGGATGTTAAATAGTAACTGTTCTCCACCTTTAAAGACTTAGAGCCACGTTTATGCTTTCTTATAAACTCGCGAGCCCCCGGGTTATAAATGCCTGCAATATATTGCAACTTAATGGCGATCTATTAAACGTGCTAATAACTTAATTTCTCAAACAGATTTGTGTAGGAATTAATAACTGTCTTTACAGATTTGTTGCTTTGTTCATTTAAAATTAAATATTCAGTTTAGGCTGTAACTATTTTTCCTTTTACAAATTGACAATATTAAAAGAAATGCACTTATGTAGCACACAACACATGGCAGGTGACGGGTTGGGTCCTCGCTTTGTAGGTTGACCGCTAGACAGATTTTAACATACAGTTATCGGAATAAAAAAAGTTTCGCTCGGTAACCACGTTGTTTTGGGTTTTCATATAAAATTACTTTAATAAAATATAAATGAATATCACGGTACATGTTATCAAAACTCGCTTTGTAATCCCTATTTATTTAGTTTCGAAGTGTCACCAATTTACTTCAGAACAGTACTTTAATAATTGAATATAACCAAGCCATTGTTAGTTGTTTCTATTTTTAGGATCTCACTAATTTACTTCATAATTGAGCACATCCTTTTAATAAAAAAAATAGCATCTAACCCCAACAATTTTAATTATGGTTTGGACTTTTCATTTTGTGTGCAACATGATAGGGTGGTATGGACTGGATTCATCTGGCTCAGGATAGGTACCAGGGTCGGGCTCTTCTGGACACGGTAGTGAATCTCCGGCGGAGGAAAACTCCGTGTTGCCTAGACCACGGCCTTGCCCAACACAAGTCATAAATTCGGGCACCGCCGGGAATCGAACCCGAGACCCCAGTATTACAAGGCCAGCGTTCTGACCGCTAGACCACCGTGGCGGTCACAACATGATATACAGATCAGGAAATATTAACAAAGCTCTCTGCGATACCACTACAACAGATACAAAAATATGTAAAGGTACAAAACCATCAAAGTAATATGCAGAAGATTCTAGGCACTATAAAAAAAACATAAATGCCACAATAAAAGACCAATGTCTATAGTTCAATATAAATCTAAGCATGTACACCTGAGTCTTCCCACACTGCAAGCAAAAACAAAAGGCCATTTATTCCTCAAGCCACTGACAGTAAAGACTGATTTCATGGGAAACATGCATAAACACATACATAAAATAATCTGTCTACATACCCTAAATAGACTCGTTTATCATGTCTGTATTTTCTGCTGCTCATATCTCCATGGTCACGAATAATCTTACGAATATGTTCTGGGGGCATGTCCTCTTTCTGGGCATCAACAAACCCAAATTTCCTCTTCTCTGAATATCTTTTAGACTGCAGTTGCTGCCACTTTTGTGCTGTAAATTTCAATTAACTACTATTAGTTTTAAAATTAACAAAAGAACAATCACTTAACACAAGAAAATATTATTCTACGCTGTTACGTTAAGTTTTGTTGTGGTACCAAGTATTTTCAAAAGTAATTATATACACCTTACATATGTTTCTGCTGTCCTGAAAATTCAGCTCAGAAATAACTGTACCATAGAACTCATCTTGGGCATTGAATCTGGACACAAAAATCTTTGCCTAGTGGTCACTTGCAATTGTCATTTTCTTTGCAATATTATTTGGTGATTTGAAATTTAGATTGTGCGCCGATTGTTACGTACACACCAATCCATGTCCATCACCCATACAAGTGTTTAAAACATTACTTTCTTTGTTATGGTGTTTGATACTTTAAAACGTACAAATTTTATAACATATTTCAGCTACCTCAGGCCCATCTTAAGCGTAACTAATTCAAGGTAGGCAGTAGTGTCTTACTGAAACTTTAATCAATTGTAAAGCGTGTATAAAGCCACTATATAAACTCCTTACCGCATAGACGTATTTACGTCAAATTATCCGGAACCGTGGTTCCACTGACACTTTTTTGCCGAATGACCCTTCCATATAGACATATTTACATCAATAAATGGGTTACTAAAAGTCAGGAAAGAAAAGTGACATGGAAATGGCCAAAGCTTACATTTAATTTATGACTGATGTAGCAAATTGTGAAATTTGTGTCTACTTTCCCAGAACTGTAGTCAAAATTCTGATTGGCAGATAACGGTAAGATAGATAAAAGGTTCGCTGCAACGTGAATGCATGACGCATGATAGAATTTGATCCTGGTCTGTGGTTCAGTGGCAGGCTACTTCAGTTCCAAAACTATAAGACATGAATGGTTGCAATGCGCCAAATCAGACTTCTCTTGTATGTGCTTATAGTAGCATTTAATGTCAGGTGTACTAAATTTTACAGCAGCAATTCACATTCACTTCTCTTGCCAACCTTTCTCCTGTAGTTTCTCTTCTGTGACGATCTCATGCTGCTTGTGTGGCTGTGCATGTGGAGGATGGTGGTGCACTTGATGCACCTGAGCCTGAAGATGAGCCTGCTGCGCTGCTGCCGCATGTGCCGCAGCTTGCGCGTGTGCTGCCTGGACTTGTGCCTGTGCCTGTGCAGCTGCAGCCAACTGAGCATGGGCTGCCTGCTGCTGTGCCATCATAGTGGCCCATGGATGAGGTCCCAACAGGTATGGAGGGAGTGCCATTGTTCAGGCCTCCCTGTAATTAACCACTATTACTCACAGACAGAAATACTCTTTGATAACAGCATAAGAAGCAGTGTGCAGAGAAGGAGCTTTTCTTCTCTCATTCTTGAAATTTTGAAACTCGTTAGTCAAGACTACTAAATTACCCACAAATCACATGAAACCAGAAAAACTAATTTTACAAAGAACAAAGCTATTCTATTAAAATGTGAAATCACGTTATATTCAACATATAAGAACATACTCATCAATGTCAAGTCTTCCAGAATAAGTAAACACCGGCACGCTTCCTTTCCAGTTTGGGAAAGAACGTGTACACAGAACCTAAAAGAATAAAACCAAAATGTCTTCCTAAAGCTGTAACTACCAACAGAAATTACCGAACGCCAACTATAGAAATATTTCATAATTCTGTAATTTTGCTTATGATGTATGGAGCGAAGCAATACACGAACTTTCAAAATTCCATCAAATATGAGTAAATTATAAAACACCTCTACAAACATGCAACCGTGAATTCTACACGAAAACACTTGACAAACATTTCTTACCCAGTGCTTTAAATACTTCCTTAGTCCGAAGAGCAATACGTTCTTAACTGTATACTTGCTTACTTCTCAATTTCTTCAAATAATCACATAGTTTAATGCACAAAGTACTCACAACGTCCACTGCGTTAACAACATAACACATTAATATGGACGCACACCACACATCACAGAGTTAACGATCACAGATAACTCTGATAATTCATACTTTGGCCACCGTACGACAGTACTACTGATGGCCTACCGCCAGTCCAGCCCACAAATTTCCTTTTCCCTTATTTTCTATAAACGGTCGTATGATATTCAAAGATAACATTTCGAGGTAGTTATCAATAGTACAAAACCCATTTAAAGTTTCATTTATATTTGTAAAGGGGGTGTAGTGCCTTGTTGCCTGGTAGAAGTCCACCAACCATTCAGAGGTCTTTGCTGCCTCCATCAGCAAGGCGCCAAAATGTTGGAGGCAACAAGGACCTATGAAACGTCGATAAACTTCCACCAGAAGACAGACATTTTTAATGATATATATGTATGTTTATTATTTATTTATTTAGTGTTCTGTCTGACGACAGGTCCATATGAACAGGATCCTTCCATCCTTTTCTCGGACTGGGACCTGTTCATATACGTTCCTGGCAGATGATCCAGAAGTGGTGTGCCATTGCCTTCTTGTGTGTATGATGGGATGGTATGTATGTATATGAATGCATGCATGTACGTATGTACGTACGACGGAATGATGTGTACGTGGTAGCACAATACCCAAGGCGCTACGGTCGTGTGTTAGAATTTCATGTCTACAAGGTTGGTGTTGTAAGTTTCTACAGACAGGTTATCTCTGACCAATTCTAATCCTCGATACATCTACCCTGCTCTGTAATATCGTGCTCCATTGTTTGTTAGCGTTGCGTTTTCGCTAGTAGGAGGCGGTATTAGTAGGTTAATTGTTTATAAGAAAATGAATGGGATGATGAAAGCTGCTCTGAGATTCTCATCATTTAAAAGCGTTGCTAATCCACTGAAACAAGCATTGCTCCCAGGAAGTACCGTGGCCGGTACAACCAAACAACATTTTGCAAGAACTTTGTGGCACATGTGTTCAACGAAATCGGAAGACAGTAAAGTTAGCAGTTTGAAATTTTATAACCCAACCAACCTATGCAGTTGCGGTTGTGGCAGCCAGCGTTTGCAGCATACGAAGAGTAAATACAGTTGAAAATTTATATTTACGCTAAAATAAAGCGTCTTATGATATAGTATTTTTAAATTAGCTGCTTTATTTTGTTGTTCTTCGATTTTTTAGTGGTTATATAGTGACCGATTGCAAT